ATTAAATTTAATATACGGATAGTCAAAGTTTGACTTCGTCGTTCGTACTGTCTTCTGGGTTTTAGCGCTGTGTAATATGGTAGAATTTTACCAACCTTTCAGATGCCCGTGGTGATTCCATCATCAGGGAGATTGGATTTATCGCTCTGATGATTTTGATGATTTTTATTCAGATCCGTACCTCAAGAACAAACATCACAAAGATCAATGCTGTTTAAGGAAAATAACATCGTTTTATTTTGAGAGCCATACAAAAACAAATGTGTGTAACTGATGTTAAAACAGCTGGTACATATACGTACCACTCTAAATGGTTAGTGGAAAATAAGACGAGAAACATCTAGGGTCTGTAGGTATGATAAAAGTGGAAAGTGGAAAAGTCCTGTGTTACTGACATCATGAATGTACATGAGAGGACTTACAGATGTCGAAGTTCGTCTTATTCAATCAGAAATATCTAAGGGGACAGAGAGGTTATTATCATAAGGAAAAACAGAGTAAAAATGTAGGTCATTGCTGCAGAAATATGATTAGTAGGGAAAAGTAGTTCGAAAAATAAAATCAGACATCTTTCCTTCATTGAATTTTATTTGGCGAATGTACCCAGGTATGTGACACTCGAATTTATTTATTTATTTAGTGTTCTGTCTGACGACAGGTCCATATGAACAGGATCCTTCCATCCTTTTCTCGGACTGGGACCTGTTCATATACGTTCTTGGCAGATGATCCAGAAGTGGTTTGCCTTTGCCTTCTTCTGTGTGTGAATGGAGTAATTGTTGGGATGCCACGAAGAAACCGGGGAAGCCCCCGGAGGAAAACTCCGTGTTGCCTAGACCACGGCCTTGCCCAACACAAGTTATAAATTGGGGCACCGCCAGGAATCGAACCCGCGACCCCAGGATTACAAGGCCAGCGTTCTAACCGCTAGCCCTTAAATATGTTGTTTATGCTTGCAGCAATATTTATTTTGATTCTTTTGGAATATCGCTTCATGATTACTGATCTATAATCGCCAATCACATGTACTGAATCGGGCACTGTGTTTTGAACAGACTCTTTACCTTAACTACACCACAATTTGAGGGAAATGTGTTGTGTAATAAGCTGTACATATACTGCGAGGATCTTTACGGTTCTTAAAACGATGTAAAATTGAGATCTTTCGGCCACAAGCATTTTTGTGTAAGGTCACGTTGCACAAGTGTGCTTAAACAAATAATGAGTACCAATTTACTCACAACATGTGCACATATGAATTACATAAGCTTATATGCCATGGAGGGTATTATATGTAAAATTTGATTTTAACGACTTTGATAAGTCAATGCTGTAATTTACAATAAACGGTTTAATATTGCTATCGAAACTCAATACACTTTAGAACACGATTTTTAAAGATTTATTATGGCATTTTTAAACTCACGAAGGACTACGTAAACTGAACATAAATTAAACCGAATATCATGGAAATGTAGGTTAATCACTCCACTGACATTTAACGAATGACATTTCAGTTCAAAGATAATTTTATCTGCTTGTAATTAAGACATTATTAATTCATAAAAATGTCAGCCCGCAATCAATTGCCTTCTGATTGCGAGTGGGAAATTTTATTCGTTTCTAATAATACAATAAAGACAGTTAACACTCCCACAGATTTCAAATGCCTATATAGCTAGATTAAAATTAATCGCTTTGAAACGAACTGTGACGTACAGCTGTAATTTTAAAAACAACCAATCACGCATCAGAATACTCCATTAGAAACAATGCGTGAGTAGTAACGGTAGATTTGATCAATAGTCTGACTTTGATATGGGATTGTTTCCATGTCGTATATTAAGGCTGATGAGCACATTTCAGCTGAAAGGAAATCAGTCCATACTACAGTTGTAACTTACTGATACAAAGACGGTTAAATTATAATCTCTCGTGTACAAATATTGTTGATTGTTTTACAATACTGAAATGTCTTAAAAATACAGTGTAGCAGACACGCAGAAGTCAAACATTGAATTAATCATCCTTTTAATTACTTCCGAGGTAGTGCAAATGGATGTTACGTAATTAATCATCATTGTAGCATTTACTACCTTAATGCAAAGGGAAATTATCAATTTCCGGGTATATTACTGTCGTGTATTAGCGGTTGGTATGACTGGCACTTAGAGAAACAGCTCGAAGGCGGTCAAATTACATATTCCTGAAACAGCGCACAATTATTAGTTCATAATTAAAGTCTGAGTAATTGCAAAACAATTATTTATGAACATTATGGTAGCTATTTGATTAATTGATTTTGTAAATTATTATAGAGAAGGAGTGAAACTGTGATATATGAGCGAAGATTAATGGAAAATACGAATTTTTGAGCGAACTAAGGACTCGAGGCAGATTTAAGTTCTTTTGCGATGGACATACTTCATCCGGCGTGATGTTTATATGTTTGGCAGAGATGATCGTAGTGCAGATACCGAGATACATGGTCACACAGATGAAACTTCACGTCCTCATGGCAAACGAATATGAAGACTGCTACTTATAAAAACCCAGAAGGCAGCCATCTTCATGCTCGGCGCCGTGAGGACCTGAAATCTCACTTTCAGAGACTAGTTCTGTGTTTGTAGAACAAACGAAAACACATAAATACGTCTAGTTCATCAATAGACATTTAACTGCCCATAAAAATGAATCCGGAGATTCGAAATTCCTGGAAAATGTTTTGTAGAAATGTCAAATAAGGCGATTAAAATGGCTGCGTTTCTAGGAAGCATTAAAAACTTGCGTTCTCATCGGCTTTTTTTTTTTTTGGGGGGGGGGGGAGGCCGCCATGTTACTCCCGCAGGGTCTACTGGGATTAGACGTTTAACTTTGGGTAACTTCCTGCAGGTATGTTGTTTCTGTTGGCGTGTGCTTGGTGGTCTTCAGTTGTCCGCTTGTTGGTCACATTAAAGAGGTTATTGTTTTCCTCCTGTGGATTCTTGTAGGAGATTCAAGAACATCGCTAAGGATCCTTGGCGAAGACCGTGGTTACGGATTTATCCGTAAGCTGCATGCGCCATCGGATTTTGAATTCATTAGCCTAACTCTGAACTTTATCCACGCAGTCCTGCGACCGGGTAACTGGATCAAGTTTCTCCGTGGTTTTCCTCTACCCTAGAGCAAATGCTGAGTTTGTATCCAAATTCCATGTTGCACTGCAATGTAAAAGTCAAAATTCAATCCTAACATATCTCCCCCCCCCCCCCCAAAAAAAAATTAAATCAAATGTCGCCCTGCCAAGTTTAATATCAAAATTCCGATCGAATACAGTAAAACACCTTCTCATCTGTCCACCTTTTCCGCTTATGAACACCTTATAATCTCTTTAACCTGCCTTTAACAGAAGGACGACTGGGCACTGCCTGGGAACCTTAATATTTTTACATTTAATTTATGTCCTCTCCCCCCCCCCCCCC